TTTTCCTAGTTTTGAGCGCTAACTTTAGGTTGACTATGTGAGAACAGAAAGTAAAAGTGGAGACTATCTCTTTAAAGCTTACTGCAGTCTATCACAAAATGAAACTTCATCAGATTTGCAATTTCATCAGACCTATCCTATGGCCATAGTAAGTGGGTAGTAATTACTTCTTCAGAAGAATATAATTATTACTCCAAACCTTCTCATAGGATCAAAAATTAGTTCTGTCTTTGAATATCTTCTGTGCTAAATTCAGCATAGTAGCCTGAGGAGATGAGAAGTGCCAACTTTGTAAAGAAAAGGCTAAAGAAAGATATATGGCTTTGATTAGATAGAAATATAGACAGAGAGACAGCATATGATGGATTATATATTGATGGCACATGTATATATGTTAGAGCTAAAAATATTTTGTATACAAAATACCGACAGATTATAAATAATAATTGTTATGGTCTGGCTCTGTGTTCCCACCCAAATTTCATCTTGAATCGTAATTTGAATTGTAATCTCCAAGTGTTGTGGGAGAAACCTCATGGGAGGTGATTAGATCACAGAGGTGGTCCCCCCATGCTGTCATTATGATAGTAGGTGAGTTCTCACAAGATCTAATGGTTTTATTAGGGGCTTTTCCCCACTTACTCTGCATTTCTCCTTCCTGCTGCCATGTGAAGAAGGACATATTTGCTTCCCCTTCTGCCATGATTGTAAGCTTCCTGACACCTCCCCAGCCCTGCCAAACTGTGAGTCAATTAAATCTCTTAAAAATTACCTAGTCTCGGGTATTTCTTCATAGCAGCATGTAAATAGACTAATACAATAATCTCCACAGAACTTAAATAGGGGAAGATTTCTATATTAAACATCAGAATCACCTGAAGATAACTTAAAAAATATGTTTCTGGTTCCATTTAAACACACTTGATGTAAATATTTGATTGTAGATTTATAATTTTTGCAGTTTCTAGGCATTGTTTTCATAGTCCCATCACTGGTTGCTGGAAACCTCAGAGTTCCTCCAAGTCCAACCTAATGGAAGGGCCCAGCCTGAGAACTCTTAAGGCAAGAGGTGAGGCCATTACGAGACATCAGAATTGCTTAGTCTGTGTCTGAAACTAACGTATTTGAATTGACATTATGGCTCAAAAGCTAATCTTAATATTTGCACTGATTAGTCTACTGCTTCTTCTACAAAACACCCACCATGTATTTCCCTGCTGTTACTGTTGGGTTGTGGCAATGGAAAGTGATCTGCAGCAGAACTGCCTGGCTAGAGCGACCTACAATTTGGAAAATAATTAAATGTATTTGCAGTTGATTTTTCAGATTCCTGGGATGGAGGAGGCCTATGTTCAGTGAACACATACAAACAAGGAAACCTCTAAGGGAAAACAAGAATTTGAGCCAAATGTATCTTACCAGCTAAAGTTCTCAACTTTCAAAAGAGTGAATAGATCTGGCATGCAATTTTGTTAGCTTAGTTTTGTTCTGTTGTTTGTTTTGCTTCCAGTAAGTTGCTTCTTTTCCCCCCTCCCCCCACTTTTCTGGGCTCTTTCAAGGTCACAGCTTCTGAAAGCTGCCCACTCCTGACTTTTCCCGAGGCCTCATAGATGAGTGAAGTCTCTCAGGGGTATTTCCAAAGAAGCCTTGGTTGCTGGTCAAAAAGAAATAGCCTTGCTCCTCTCATGCTCCATTCACTGAGATGTTCAGAGCAATCAGATGTATCATGAACAGTCATGTGTTAATTGACTGTTTATATTATTGTTAAGGCTTCTAGTAAACAATAGACTAGTAGTTAAGTTTTTGGGGAGTCAAAACTACATTCAGATTCTCAACCATGCATGAGTGGGCACTCCTAACTCCTGCATTGTTCAAGGGTCAATTGCGTATATGTCAGTTTAAAGTTGAACCTTCTCCTTACACCTCCCCCTTACTTACTTCTGTATCCTTAAATACCTTTGTAGAGTCATGAAATATCTGAATAATACAACTGTCATTTTATTGTTTACCTGTTTAACATGGTGTTTGAAATAGCACGTTTTTACGATACTGCTTGAAGAAAGTAGCTTTTAATCAAAAAATACTTATTTGAATTTTTTAGCATTTATTTGTAGCCTGCACATCTATAGCTAAAGCTAAGCAATTGATAGATATTAGTTTAATCATTACCTTCAGAACATCACTTCATATTTTTTATGATTTTTATTATAAATTCCCACTGATCATTCTTTGCTTTCCAGAAAAATCTGTTGAACTTTGAAAAAATTTATCCTCTCAATCTCAATGAGAACATTATGTCTGCTAAATGGAGATAGTCAGCATTTGAATGAAAAAGTAAACAAAGTGAAATAGTGAGATAATTATTTTTATAAAAAATATTATCAGTAGTAATAATACCAAATATGTTGCTTCAATATCTGCAAACAGTAAATGGACAACTAAAAAAGAATGATAACAATAGATGATTCCAGATTTCTATTTGAGCTACACTAGTAACAAAGACGTAAAATTATTTCATATTCTCCCAGATATTAGTGCAATCAACAAAACAGCAGATGCCACTCTTTATGGGCACCTGCTCATGTACTGAATAAGAAAGATATAATAATTGACTTGACCCAGATGTCCATGTCAAGTCATTGAGAATCTGAAATGGTAAAATTTCTAAAGAAATATGAAAAGAATACTAAATTTTTACAAAATGCTTTAAATTCATGTAAAGTAAATTCAAGTAAGGAATAGCTCTTTAAAAAGTGTGTGACTTAAAAATGTATATAAAATAATTTTAAGTGGCATGGAGTCAAAACTAACCCTGCAACCATAGTTTCCTTTATAAGTCACTTTTTAAACTTATGATTGTGACAATATTTCCTTATAGTTCATTATTCTCTGGGCATAGTTTCATCCAAAATTATAATAAATATGGCATTCTATAGCTCTACTTTTCCAGAAGTCTAGCTTTCACTAATTTTCAGTCTATGAGATATGTCACAAAAATTCCTATGTGATTTGTTGTTCTGTCAAAACTCTGAAGTTGTGTCTACTTGTTCCTAAGAAATCTAAATATACAGGCTTGATATGCTGGTCAAATAAAGCCAACCCTTTTTCAGTCAGGTTTATTTGGAACCTGATATTTTGTTTGGAAGGAAAGAAATAAAGTTGGCTAACAGTTGCAGAAGACAATTTTTTGCAGGCATGCAGGTAACTTGGAAATCAACAGGAAGGCTATACAAGAAGACTTACGAACTCAGGTCTAGACAAATGGTGAATCACTATAACAAAAATTAAGGCCACATTCAGTAACGACCAGGGTGATGTGCAGTTGCCACAAGCCCTAGATGACCACCACTATCTCCGGACCATTAATGCTGCTAGCTCCAGGGGAATGAATTCTACAGAATCTCTGCTGGCCATCGCCCATGCAAAGACTCAAGCAAGGACTTGCTTAGGTCTGGTGGCCTTATTGGAGCTATAAAGCTCTTAGAAAGCAAGCCTTTGGTCTTTTAGTATTTCTTTTTATTTTTTGTACTAAGGTAGATTTAGAAAGAGAACTGAGCTGAAATACTTGGCATCCAAAAGAAGAAAGAGCATCATTAGCTCAAGTCGTATTGTTTTGTTAAACAGAGATTTGTGAAACACAATTTGTATTATTACCACCAAGGTTTAACGTGTCCATTATAGAATAATTAGAAAATATAGATAAGCAAAGAGAAACACAGTAGTACTCTGAACTCATCCACCCAGAACTAATAAAATGTCAATATTTTGTTGTGTAACTCAAGATTTTTAAATAAAAACGTGGTTACCTGTGTGTGTATCTACACAGACATATGTATACATGCACACATACATACACATGTACAAACACAAGCACAGAGTTGAGTAAGTTGAGAAGACAAAGCAATATATCTTAAGTACTTTTCACATCTTTACAATTTTTCTACATAATTTCTGTTTACATGCATAAATGTCATTATATTGCAATATCACAATTCATTTAATCTATCACCCTATTTTTGCCATGCCGGGATTTTTGCTCATTTATTTTCTTATTATAAACAAGCCTGCAATGAACATTCATATAGAAAATGTATAACTATGTTCTTAAGATAAATTTTTAGATAAATTACTACAGAATCAAAGTAGAATATATAATTGCCTTTTACAGGAAAACATAAGTTGCAGATTATTGAACTCTGACAGAGTTAGCATCCTGTAGTTAACAGCTGCTGATTTCTAATTGGATCCATCCAAGTTTTGCTTTCATAAACTATAAATATATGTTTACAGGACTAGAGTCTGAAGTGGCTTCCTTTCTCTACACTGTTGACTAAAGATAAGGCTCAAGAACATGAACCACAGATGATCAATCAGGAGATATTCTGAAGGGAGTGCAGTCATTAGCAAACATATCAAAGACTAGAGAATTTTCATCACCTTCACCCTGATCCCATCCACTCCTATTAATGTCAAAATTTTATTTATTCTTCAAAGACAACTCAAATATTGCCACTCGAAAAAGCTTGTTCTTTATCTGAAAGTGATCTCTCCTTAGGTCTTGCTTTCTCAATGTTTCTTCTGTCACCACCACCCCATCCCCAGCAAATTTTGCTTTTAAAATGCGTCACTCCACACATGTGTTCTCATCTTCAAGTGTTCCTCAACATTTTTCACCTAGTATTATTTTTTAACTGGCCCAAGAAGGAAAATACTTTCGCTACAAATATATGTGCTAAATTTTAAGAATATACAACTTTAAAAAGTACAAATTAGAAGATGAGAGTCTTCTATAATCCACTTCTTACATCAAATCAGATTTCTTAATGCCATTGCTCACCAGGATTTCTTCCCCCAACCCCCCCATCTTCTCTCAATAAATACAATTCTCCCCAGTCAACATCATTCATTACCAATAGAGTCAAATCCCAACAGGCAAATGATTCAAACCTCTTTCTTAATTTCAGGACACTTACTTTCAAATATCTGTTCTATTCCTTTACCTGAAAAATTATTTCCATGTCTCTGCCTTGGTTCTGAAGCCAGACCTGTCCTGATTCCAATTAGACCAGCCAGAACTTTTCAGTCTTGCCTTCCTCCTCATGCAGATCCCATTGAAAGTATAAAGTACATTTTTATTGGTTCCTAATATACCCTGAGATTCACTCTGACTGCACATATCTACTCCTAATCCCTGGAGAGTCTCTTGATGAGGAAATGTGCAGATTAGCTTCTCCTTCATTGCCTGTTACCCAGTTAAAGAAAGGATGGTGTCAGCTTCCTCCAACCACAAAGCTGACCATGGAGAGAGATCGTTTGTCAAAAGACAGTTGACGTCCTGTTACCAGGAAAAAAAAGGGACACCAGAAACAAAAGGTGTGTCCCCTGCTGTGTCTTCTCCGTACCTGCAGTCATTTTCCAGGCATCCTTCATCCCCTACAGGAACACTTCAAACCATTTCCTTGTTCACCTACTATCTTGTGAAGAATGTCTTCTCCCTCTAATATTCTCCAGTCAGATAAGATGACTGATTAGAAAGAAACAGGTATGATCTTGTCACTCTTATTTAAAACGCGTCAATTTATATGTACTTAAAATTACTTGAATTTCTAAAGCACAGCTCAATGTCCTATTATGGCTCTATCTCTAGTCATAATCTAAACTAGACTGCTCAGTGTTCCCAGAAATGGGATCCATTTTTTTATGTTTCTGTGGCTTAGCATAAGCTGTTCTCTTAGCTGGAATATTTGTACGGTACAGTTTTCCTGGCCCCTGTCTCCACTACCCCACCCCTTCCCCTAGTAGATGGAGTTGCTTTTGAATCCATATTTCCATGACACATTGCAAAAATCCCTGTCAAGGTACTAATCATGTATTTGCAGGAATTTATATTTACATTTCAGTCTCTCTTAGTTAACTGCAAGTTGCCAAGGTTGTCTTCTCAGTTTTACAAACCAGGATGTCTAAGAAAGTGCTTTGCATAAAACATAAACTCAGCAAACATTTGCTAAATTGAATTTTTGGACACTTAGCAACAGAAATATTTCAGAGTGGTTCATATTATTCTTGTTAATCCAATCAGCTTCAATCATCCAACATAGCTATGCTAAGGAGGTACAAGCTACTCCAGTGTTTCTGACATATTTTTATATGCATAGCAGTTATTTATTGGTCAAAATTACTGAGAAAATAATTTGTACTACGAGCATGCCCTATAATTTTTATAGACTATATTCTTCTTATCCAAGTACAATTCACAATGCCAGACTCAGAGATTATTGATGTTTATGGAAACATGACAATAGTGAGATTCTCTTCTCTCAAAGACTGAGTGTGATGTTCAGCCATCCATGATGGAAGGCCAAGTAGAAAACATCTCCGAGACTCTGTTGTGATGATTTCTTTGTGCACAGATGATACAATTCCAAGTTGCAATGCACTCCATTAATTAAACAAGTCTGCATGCTCATAATTTAATTTGCTGAAAGAATTCACAAGAGGGATGGGAAACTGGGTTCCCTTGCTTCCCATAAATGTAATTGACATAATGAGCAGCTTTCTTCTCTTCTGAGTCACAATGCCTTACAGTAATACCTGCCTCACGTGATATCAAGTTCTCTTTGACTTGCACAGAGAAATAATTTCCTAAGTGCAATTCAACTTGATGTAAATAGATATCATCTCGCATCAGAGACTTCAGAAGTAAAGCAAATGAAAATGACTTCAATGAACTTGGTGCTTAGAATGGTAAAAACCTTAGTTCAATAATAATTCCCATGAAAATACTACATATATCTCTCTCACTCTATGTATTTTCAATTAAAGCTTACAAAATTTAAAATGGAAAAGAAAAAATCTTAGACTAAAATATGGAATATCTTACATTTCATTTTGATTAGCAGTTTATACAGCACCATCATATGTATTAATATACTGGATGTTTTACGCATCAAGTTGATGAAAGAAATTTCCTTATCATCCTCATAATCGTCCTATTTTATAAATGATGAAAAGAGGAGTTGAAGGATATAGTCATTTGACCAGGCTGATATTGTTTAAAAGCAGTAGAAACTTGAACTGGAATCTTTGCCTTCTTACTTCTAATGCTATGCTTTTTCCACAGTGTAATTCTAAGATTGTACAGCACTTATAATTGAGTCATAATCATACTAAATGCTCAGCAATTATATGCCCAGTGAATAAGACACAATAGAATAAAATGCATGCTTTTTATTATACCACTTTTTTAAAAAAATTAATTTATTCCTATTGCTGACCATTATAAGATTAAATGTCTTTATTACAAATTTCAACTTCCTCTAAGATTACAGTCACAAATCTGGATTTTTTTCTAAGCTAATTTTAAAATGATATTTTTAGACCTCTAAGATAAAATAACCAAAGTAGAATAAAATCTTTTATTTTCTGAATATACTTTAGACATCTCATTCTATCAAGATTTTATCTTATTTTTTGTTTCCCTCCTGCTCCTTCCTATTGGTTGTTTTTTCCCAGTTAATTATGTGTAGCCTTTTCAGGTTTCAAATGCAATCTCTTTCTTTCCTTTCTGAGCTGCATTGTTCACAATCATAAAGAAAAATAACCAGGGAGCTAATAAATGTCATTTTTTACATGTTATATAAAGTATTTATAAAACACTAAGCAATGTTCAAGTATCTTTAGAATTGGCCATTTAAGACTTTAATATCTGGCACCGAGAAAAATAGTACTTTGAAAGCTTTCATTTTATACTGAAGCTATAGAAATTTCAGCACCTACTGATAGGTTGTGAACATTTACAAGTGAATGAAACAAATTAAATGACAAGCTCCTACCAGTGTTTAAAACATAATATTTTAGTAGCTGCTTTATTTATTGAATAAAAATAGAATACCAAGCAACTACTCAATGAACTTAGCTTTTATTATGCCTGTACCCAACTTGGTTATAAATTTTATTATATAGAGAAAGACATATTTTACATTTTCAATTAATTCAACGTATTTCTCAAATCTCTTAGTCCTTGTAAGTGTCTATGAAGATAATAGAGAGTATATGTTTACATCTGTATACCTAAACATAGACCTATGATAACCTTCCTTGCAAGAAGGTTATTTGAAAATGTTAACCTTGGTGTTTTTCATTTACAATTCTCTTTTCCCTCTTCTGATCCTTCACCCATCTGAGCTAAAGTCTAGACCTAAGGAGGCCACTATTTCAGGGATGGGATAATCTGCCAAGCAAGAGTTTATTCAAGCACAGTTTGAAATAAAGGTTTCAAAAGCACAGGCTGTTGATACTTTGAAAGGACTCTTATCATAACGTGTATGTAACTTGCTGTAAAGAAGAATGCCCATTATGGACTAGATGTTTATAGTCCATAGGCTTTCTAGTTAGAAACCCTAACTCTCAATGTGATGATTATGGGGAGATGGCACCTTCGGGAAGTAATTGGTTTAGTTGTGATCGTGAGGGTGGGGCTTCATGGTAGGATTTGTGCCTTTGTAAGAAAAAGACACCAGAGCTTTCTCATTCTTTCTGTGCCATGTGGGGTCACAGTAAGAATGTGACCATCTGCAAGCCAGGAGAAGAGTCGTCACTGGAACCTGCCCATAATGACACTCTGGTCTGGGACTTTTCAGCCTCCAGAACCATGAGAAATAAATTTCTGGTGCTTAAGTCACCCAGCCTATGGTATTTTGTTATAGCTGACTAAAATAATGCCCAGTGAATTAAGTTTTCCTCTTCTGGACTGAGGAGAGCTGTAAAAGGGAATAGCATGGGACCGTGAGAGAGATCTGTCTTTGACTCCAGTTCTCTTCCTGTTCCCCATCTCCTTTTTCCACCACCAGAAATCACACAAAACCTAAATATGATTATGAATGTGAAAGCAGACAATGGCTATGTCCTAGTTCCTATTTGGAAATGGAATGAAAAAAAGTAGCTTGCAGCATACTCTGAAAACCATGGCATAATGCCAAGGGCACTGTGTGTGGTGTCAAGACAGTGGGGAGCTGAGATTGCTTCACAAAAGTCTCTGGTGCTCCAAAGAACACCTGCAAAGCAGCCAATGTTTCCCATGTCCACTGGAAGGACATGCACTTGGAGGAGTGAAGGGCAGTAGACTTAGGCCACGGGGTTGGGATGAAGAAATCTGATCACAGACAATACTGTGGGCAGGAGGCCAGATTTCATATGCAATTAAAGTAATCGCAGGGGCTGCTCACAAGACCAGGCAGGGCAGTGCCAACTCTGAGGGTGCCAATGTAGGCCAGATAACCAGACCAGACATTCACCACCCTATACTGTTGCTCTTAATAAATCTCCAGAATTTTGCATCAATCCTAGAGAAGAAGGGGTGTTAGACTGAGATAATCCTTAAATAAGTATCTAAAGGTTTTGGCAATGAGGAAAATAATGATAAGCTTGAAATATGAAAATCCGCATATCTATTGGGTATGGTGACGCACATCTGTAATTTTATCATGCTGGGAGTCCAAGGTGGGAGCACTGCTTGATCCCAAGAGTTTGAGCAACATAGTAATTCCTTGTCTCTACAGAAAATTTTAAAAAATTAGCCAGAAGTGACAGTACATGCCGGTAGTCCCAGATACTCGGGAGATTAAGACTGCAGTCTCAAAAACAAACAAACAAACAAACAAAAAAAGAAAAGTTGCATATCTAAGTTTTGCTCTGGAAATATTACAGTTGTTCTAGATATATCCGTTCTAAACAATAGTATACGTACATAATAAACTTCCTTAAGGATAGACGTCAAAGTTTAATAACAGTTCAATAATAAAGTGTAAGACCAAAGAATTAAGTTTAATGAAGACTTGCCGTGTAAAATAAAATTTTGGGTGAAACTTTAACAAAGTTTTTATGCTGTATTAAAATTTGGGGGGTTTTATCCTATTGGAATTTTGAGAAGCCACTGTAGATTGTTAAGTATGGGGGAGACGTTATCATAGTGATGATTCAGGTTAATTTAGCAAAAAATGTGAACAATAGACCAATGAGATGTAGAGACAGGAATGTTAGTTCAGAGGTTATAGCACTTGCCAGGCAAAAGATAATAAGGAAAACAATAAGGCAGTAAAAGTAAAATATGGAAGCATTCATGAGGATT